TATAATTTATTTATCAAATAAATGCAGCCTTGGTGAAAAAACAAAAAAAAACTAGTAATGCATGTACTTTTATGTCAGTAATGATAGTGTTTATAAAGTGTTATCTGCATATGTAAATGTAATGCTTTGACTGAAGTCTCTAGACATTCTGTGAGGCTCAGAAATGGGTTGTGCTTGAAACACAGCTGATATGCTGGCGATTTTTGGCTTCACTAATGAGCCCCAAAATTTCTGGCCCATATTAGTGTGAGTGCGTCTGACATGTCATCATTCATCCTCCGGTAGGACGTCTCCTATGGCCTGTCAGGCAGTCTCCAGTGTCACATGATCCTTCAGAAATCATTCTAACATGCCGATTTGATGCTCAAGAAACATTTTTGACTATTATCAATGTTGCTGCTGCATCAAACTTTATAATTACAACATGTATAATTACAAAAGATTTCTATTTCAAACACATGTTGTTCATTGAATTTCCTATTCATGAAGGAATACTGAAAAATAAATATTACGAATGCCACAAAACTATTAAGCAGCTGTTTTTAACATTGAAAATAGTAAGAACCATTGTTAATAATTGAGCACCAATAATAACTGATCAGCAAATCAGCATATTAGAATGATTTCTGAAGGATCATGCACAGCTGATATGCTGGCGATTTTTGGCTTCACTAATGAGCCCCAAAATTTCTGGCCCATATTAGTGTGAGTGCGTCTGACATGTCATCATTCATCCTCCGGTAGGACGTCTCCTATGGCCTGTCAGGTTAGAGGTATTTGGCTAATGATGTGGTGCTTGGCAGAGCAGTAATTAGGGCTTTGGTGCCCAGCTGGTGCCACTACCACAGATGTTAATGGAGAAGATCTGGGGGCGGGGTGGAGATGTAGAAGGTTCTGGAAGGAGGGGGTGGGGTGTGACTGTCTCCCCTCTGTCCCGCCCATCTCTAGGGACTTTGTCTGTCTGGTTGGTGCTGTCATTTTGTTTTAACAGATGTGTGGTAAAGCACCTGCCCTTTAAATTAGTGAAGGGAAGGGCCAATTCTCCTGATGTGGGAAACCACAGGAGATACGAATGTGACTGACAGAGATCCATATACTATTCATTATCAATCAAACCAGCCTCGGATAAAAGATCCAGTTATGTTTTCAAAAAAAGGACAACGTTTTATGACGTCCCACTACGTGCCTCAGGTTTTAAAATCATTAATATTTGTATCTTATTTTATCAGATTTTTTTTCTTCACTCTTCAAAGAAAGAGCTTCCAAAATGGGGGTTTTCTCAGTGATTTTTGGTTCCCAAAGAACCTTTCAGTGAACCATTCTAAAAAGAACCATTTTTTCTTAGTATAAAGAACATTTTAATATTCGAAAGAACCGTTTCCCTCTGTATAGAATCTTTTGTGAGATGGAAAGATTCCATGGATGTTAAAGGTTTTTCATGGAACCATCAATGCCAATAAAGAACCTTTATTTTTAAGAGTGTCGGCTGAATGCTTAAAATTGACTTCCACACCAAAGCAAATAAATGTGCACACATAAAAGTGCTCATGCACTTTTTGTCCGTGCAGTCTCTAGGGCGGCACCATCATGCATTATTTACTAGTAGTGATGGATAATGGCATATTTTGAGGGCAGACACCCAACCCTCCAGTCATAGTTATTGCGTGGTTGTGCAAAACGCCGAGATTTACTACAATCCAATGGAGACATTAGATGTCCTTTAATGACAAGTGACACCTCATATAGCTGAACCTGAATTATGTAGTTTTTATCTGAGATTTGTGGCCATCATTTATTTAATAATTTTCTTTGAAAGGAATGGTAATAAAAAGAAAAATACAGTCAAACCCAAATTTATTCAGACACCTTCAACATTTCACACATTATCACAGTTTATTCGTTGTAGTTTAGAAAATGGTAATAAAATATGATAAGAACTAAGTAGAACAAATTCATCTTGATAATGTCAGATAACACTTAAACGGGTCATATGATGCATTTTTAAAGATCATTATTTTGTGTATTTGGTGTAACAGAATATGTTGACATGCTTTAATGTTCAAAAAACACATTATTTTTCAAATACTGTACATTATTGTAGGTCCTCTATGCCCCGCCTCTCTCAAACACGTCGTTTTCAACAAAGCCCCTTCCTTTGACAAGCGCAGTCTGCTCTGATTGGCCAG